TTTTAAAAACTCATTGGATAATAACAAAGATCTGAAGCACTTTCTGGGAGCTCTAAAAACCAGTTTTTGACCTAAAGACCTATGAATATCCCATTTAGATTTGTCGAGAATAGGCTCGTTCGATGCAGAATTTTTTTCTCTATCAGAATCTATAAGAACTTGATAACTATAGAAAGTATGATTATGAAAATTACTTCGTAGATACATACATGTGTGAATGGTTCCTAAAAAATAATGTGGATCCCCATACTTTATGTGTTCAAAAAAATTTTAATTGCTACCTCAGACCGTTTTCGACTATGCCCCGTCTAACTAGAATATCAAAATCGTAAAAAAAAAATTTTTCCACAAAGTGGTAGAAACCCGGCGGATTCACCCTATTCCTTTTTTTTCTAGATCGTGCACACTCTGTACACTTTGTCGAAAATTTCAGAGTGCGCGAAAAAATTATAGTGTAAAACAGAGTGCGGATTGCGCACTGTACTGGAAATTCTCATTAGAAACACTGCACACATTTCGAAAATGTATATTTTATTCAATATAATATTTATTGTGTTCATAATACATAGGTTTTCATTACGACAAGAAATCAATATATTAATTGACAGTCGTGAAATAACAAAATAGATATGAAGAAAAAAAAACAGACTGTTGATTAAAAATTTGTAGTTGATGTTAGATGAAACATTAGCAAATCAATTTTATTCTATATTTTTCTTTCTAATATTCATATTTTTACAACAAATAAACCTACGCTTTACTAGTTGAATATTGTTCATAAATTTGTCCAAAAGATAAATCTTGTTTGACGCAAAATGAAATGTCACGAGTCATTTTTTTTTCTTCCTTGAAGAGTCATTTCATTTTTTTTCTCCAATAATGATAGTTTTTTTTAATAAAAAAGCGCCATCTATTATCATTCTCAATGAACTCAGTTTGTTTTTATTAAAACAAACAAATACAACAGATTTTTATTTTTTGCATGACAGACTTAGTCAATATGAATACTTCTTTGAAGTTTAATAAAAGAATGTTGAAGAGAAAATTACAAAAATTCGAAACGAAACGAAATTAAATAAAATATAATAAAAATTATTTATTTTGTAAACGTTCTTCAATAATTGCAGCTAATGGATTTTCAACAGGTTGTTCCATATCAAGATCGGTATTACGTCGGCGTCGTATTTGATAGACGACACTAAAGCCAAGTGATAATAATACCAATACAGCTACTGTTATTCCAGCTACAATAGCACCAAATGCATAATTTCCAACTTTACTATCACTATTCGATTCATCAGGATTCGGTCCACCAATATTGCAATTAGATAATGCTAATTGTGTTTCAATATTACAAGATGTTCGTGTTGAATTAAATAAACATGTTGGTTGTAATACAGAATCATTGGTTAGTTGTCGAAATTGATTCATATAGAATAAATCAATAACACAATTACAGACATGTGATTCATCTAATTCAAGATGAAGTAGATTAGGTGCATTTTTAAATATTTTATAATAAGAACAAAAATTTTTATCACTTAATCCATGACCATATAAACGAATAGTTACAAAATGATTTGCTATTTGACTTATAGATGTAAGTAAATCAATAATCATATTTTCAGAAAGATTTGTATATGAAACATCAATTGAATGTAAATTTGAAATATTTGGAAAATAATTTTTAATTAAATCATCATTATTTTCACTAATAAATCCATTTGAAAAATCAATTTTTTCTAAAAATGGTAAAGTTTTTAAAATATTTGTTTTAAGAAATAGATCAAGTTGTTGTTTTCGTAATAATAAATATTTTGTATAACTATATGCAAACCAATCATAATTAATATCAAGAATTTTTATTGGATTATAACTTAAATCAAGTTTATGTAATTCCATTAATACACCATCAATAATATTTGACGGAAATATTTGAAAATTTGAATTATTAGAAATAATTAATTCTTCCAATGCAAGTGACCATGCTCGAAATGTATGTGCATTAATAATTTCTAGACTTGTATTTGATATTTCAAATGATTTTGTTTTTGATAAAAATGATGGTAAACTTGTATGTGTT